ACTAGAGACAGAACTAGAGAAGGGAAGGACTGGGTCACAGGACACTCTGCTAGCTGCTAGTGACCACGGGCAGGTGAGAAGGCTGCAGAGAACAGCAAGCAAGGCACGAGGTGAGGAGAATGTCTGACGCAGCCTGAGTCCTGATGGACACTCGGCCACATCAGTTTATTCTCTGTGGGGTTACTCCTGCTCTCCCACGTACAAGAACCAGGGCAGCACCAGCCATGGTTTTCTCTTACTTGTATGCCAGACAACTCAGTCATGAACTCAGAGAAACATGGATTGTTGACTTTGCAGAAAACAGAAAGAACACGGAGGAAATTAACTGCTTTGTGAGCATGCAGGAAATCATTAGCAAAGTTCTCAAATAGAAAAATAATGGAAGACTAGGCAAAACTTCACACTGAACTGTTACAAAACCACCAGGAGCTTTTGTGATGAACTGGCCAGAGGCAGCCATCTGACTTTGAAGGACGGCAACAGTGGTCTTTCACAGAGATTTCCTGAGAACACTATACAAACCCTGAAATAAAAACATTCTCAGAAATGTTTTCCTTGGAGCTAAGTCTCTGATGCTAGCCAAAGAGAATATTTTAAGAATCCCCCAACTATACTGGAGATGGAGTTAGAGGAAAGCCCATGGAGGGTGAGGACTTCTGACAGCAAGGTCCACACCATCTTTCAGGATAGAATATGAAAACTCATATGAACATGAAGGGAAGCCACAACCTGTGGAGGCTGTAATGTTATCTATGACTATATGCTGCCTGGAGATGCAAATTAAGTTGGATGTTAAACTAGAAATTTTGGCCACTGATCTTCCTAATGGTGGCAGCAACCATCTCTCTCAAATAAATATATTATGTTGGTATTGACTCCTTTTCAAAATTCAAGGAGGAAATCTAGGAAGATGGTTTGGCCAATAAGGTCAGTAAGGACCTTGCAAGGGTGAGGACCTGAATTTCGACCCCAGAACTCAAGTAAAACACTAGGTACAGTGGTGGGGCACAACTGTAATTCCAGTCACAGTGAGCCGGGAGGCAGAGATGGGCAGACCTCTGGAAGTTCATGGCCAGAGAGTCTGACAACTTGACAAGGCTCAAGGCCAATGAGAGACTCTATCTCAAACAGAAGTTAGAAGGTACCTGGGGAACAACACCTGAGGTGAACCCCATATATGCACCATGCATGCATGCTCCTGTACCTACATGTGCAGTCATATATGTGAACACACTAACGTAAGCAAAGTGAAACAATGGAATAATATAAATGCAACAAGGAAGGCTGTGCAAGAAGAGGTAACCGCTGCCTTGTTGAAAACTGGTATAAATAGAGAAAAAGGCCTGGCTAATTTCTAGACTTATTCCTGAAGGTTAACCCTAGCAGTATTGATACGTATGTGCTGGTAGAGAAGGGAGATGCCGGCAGAGTTCCCAGAACAGATATCGACTTTTTGTGGCAGACTCACGTTTCCCACATAGTGCTGTGTTAGCTATTGCTGGCACTGCAATCGTTTGCATTTTGCCTAAGATTCAAGTCTCCAAAACAGTGTTGTCAAGATCTGAAAGGGACTGCCTGCGGTGATACAGTATTCAAAGGCTTGAAAGAAAGTTATTGTATTGGATTGGATATCAGGCCTCCTTTCATAGGAAGAAATACGTATCTGGTTCTGTTAACCAGGGCAAAAATCTATGGCTGGGAAGTCATAGGCCCTAGTGAGGAACTCACTACCGACATCAGGCTGGGTGAAGCCAAATGGCTATCTAAATACTTGTGTCTTAGACTGGCTGCTGCCTGCCAGGCACAGAAAGGTAGTGGCTAATAAAGAAACTCGAAACTGAAGGTAATGACTGCCGCTGAGAACTTGGCATCCACATCACCCTCTGTAAGGCCTAGGGGACGGCGTAGAAAAGAGGAAACAAAGATTATGACAACAGAACGATGAGAAGTAGTTCTATGATTCTGATTTCTTTATTTCACGCATTGCTTTTGCATATGGTGACAGTGGATAGTAACAGGTGGTCTGAAAGAGAAAGGCCCCCACAGGCTCCTACACATGGAAGCTTGTTAGTGGAACTGTTTGGGAAGGATTGGGTGGTGTGGCCTTGCTAGAGCAGGAGTGATTCTGGGGGTGACATGTGAACACGCTGAGAAGGGCTGCACCTTATCCTAACTGCCGTGGCAGCCGCTGAGTGGCTTCACCTAGCAAAGCAGCATGGCCAATGTTAAGAGTTATTTTAAATAACTTGGTCAGTTTCATGAAGAGTGATTTATTTAAACAGCCCTGATTTGAATGATCGTCTAAACAAAATGAGTAACTGGAAAATCTGAGTGAGGAGCTGTCCTCTGGCACTGAAAGTGGTCCTTGTAATGTGCTGTGACTCTAAGCACCTCGGGGCAAAGTAATGCAGCTTGTTTCTGGAATGATCTAGTTCTAGAGAAGGGGAGGTGATGTAAGGAGGAGATGGAGATGAGCCTTGATTTAGGCGCTGAAGACAAGAAACTTGTACGGGGAGAGGTATATTCCAGAAGGATCGTGGCCACTCGTGTGTGAGGGCTCTAATACTGTGAGGTGCACAGGGTATCTCATTTCCATTCCTCTGTCCTCCAGAATGGGCAGGCCTCTTGCCTGAGTCCAAATTGAGTTAGGTCTAGTTTAACCTGAACTATAGGAGGGTTTTTGGCAGTTAAAGAAAACAAGCATTTTCCAGGAACTTGTGGAACTGGTTCCCATCAGGCAAAGGAGTCATTTTGCATACCTGTGGCAGAAGGGACATATGTCTCTCCAACTGACATGTACCTGTGGCTGCATATCAAAGCCCATGCTGGCCTCCAGGCTCCATCAGTCCCCATTTGCAAGTATATGTTATACTTTTCAAAGTCCCCACCCTAGTCTAAGTCTTGCTCCAGGTACTGCGTCCCTCATAACCATCCCCCAGTCTCACTATTCCCACACCAACTCCCCTGCTTTCTCACTATGCTCTATTCTCAACCATTTGCTATTCTCCCTTCTCGTGCAAATGCATAGCCCTAGCCATACCCAGTCAGTTTCTTTTTCTCTCTGCTCTAGACTCTTCCAGATGCCTCTGGATGTTCTCTCTTATTCACAATAAAAAACCTGAACAATACCATGGAGCAAGGATGTTGGCAGTTCCTTTGCTGTGCCCCCTTACAGACAAGTGTCTTTCTGCAAGTTGACAGTGAGTGTTTCAAACTCTCATCCGGTCTCTCTTAGCTGCCCAACTCTCAGAACAGACTAACACAGAATCAAGTACGGATACCTATATATGTAAAGAATACCCTCTGGAGTCGGGTGATGGTGGCACATGGCTTTAGTCTCAGCACTTGGGAGGCAGAGGCAGGTGGATCTCTGTGAGTTCGAGGCCAGCCTGGTCTACAGAGTGAGTTCTAGGACAGCCAGGGCTATACATGGAAACCCTGTCTTGAAAAACAAAACAGATTACTTTTAATGTTTTGCACATCGTAATTTTAAGCACACATCTAAGTCTTTTTGCGTGTTTTCCTGTGTGTGCACATGTGTGTGAATGCAAGAGGTTCCAGCTTGTGTCATTCCTCAGAAGCCACCCACCTTGTTTCCTGATATTGCATTCCTCACTAGGACCCACCCATTAGGCTAGGCTGGCCTAGGGATCTGCCTGTAGCTGCCTCCTCAGTGACAGAAAGGATTCCAAGTTCACGCAGCACACCGGACTGTTATTGCAGGCCCTAGGATTTGAACCCAGGTCTTCATGCACCGCAAGCACTTTAGCGATTGCAATTCTCCTCATCCCTCTTAAGTCTTTTGTAACAGAGAGCAGGGTTATGACACGGGAAAAAGACTTAGAGCCATTCTTAACAGTACATCTGCAGCTTGTTTTCACAGCATAATCCTACAGGATTAAATTAACCCAGTATTAATGTAGTACATTCTTGGGCGAGGAGAAAAGAGCATGGGAGGCAACACAAGTAACCAATGCTGCTGCTCCCATCAGCAGTGAGCTTATGGACTTTAAAGTGACCCCTAGGCTGAGGATCAAAAGGAAAACACACTGACTGACAGACTATCACAATCTATCAATTATGAAAACGATGATACATTTTTAAAGACTGCCTTAAATGCACAGAAAATAATGTTAAGGATACATGCGTGCTTGGCGAAACATATCCAAATGGGATTAGACGAACATGCTTCATCCTAAGCAAATCCATCTGTGCAAACAATCTCTGGAGGGGTTTTTTCTTTTTGGCTTCTGAGCCATCAAGAGCATAGTTCACATCACTCCTTAGTCAAACACACAGCAACCCTCACTGGCATGTGAGAAAACCGTTTGTGTTTTCAACCCAAGCCTGTTCTGATCTTATTTCCACTGGTGGCTGAGAGTTTACAAAGGCCTCCCGCCATCCTCTAGGCTTAGCCTCACCACACTCTCTGAGCGCTCACAGTGTAGGAAGAACACCGTTCCTGACTCTCAGTGTGACTGTAGGAAGAACACTGTTCCTGGCTCTCAGTGTGACTGTAGGAAGAACCCCTTCCCTGGCTCTCAGTGTGAGTGCAGGAAGAACACCCTCCCTGGCTCTCAGTGTGACTGTAGGAAGAACACTGTTCCTGGCTCTCAGTGTGATTGTAGGAAGAACACCCTCCCTGGCTCTCAGTGTGACTGTAGGAAGAACACCCTCCCTGGCTCTCAGTGTGACTGTAGGAAGAACACCCTCCCTGGTTCTCAGTGTGAGTGCAGGAAGAACACTGTTCCTGGCTCTCAGTGTGACTGTAGGAAGAACACCATTCCTGGCTTTCAGTGTGACTGTAGGAAGAACACCCTCCCTGGCTCTCAGTGTGAGTGCAGGAAGAACACCCTCCCTGGCTCTCAGAGACCCTTTAGGAGCCACAAGTTGCACTTCAGTGCATGTAAGCGCAGGCGTGGCTGCTCACTTCATCGCCTCAGATCAAATGGATCTAGCAAGTACCTTATTTTAAAGTCAAGGATGAGTGTAAGGCTTACCCATTCGTAAGAGAGAATCCAGCATCCTCGGGCAATCCCCATCAGCACGTTCAGGGTGCGGACAGACTTCCCCACCAGCACATGGGTGGTGGACTCGCAGACCTCAGGTGTAAACGAGAAGCCTTTCAGTGTGTTCACTACCTGGATGATGAGAGTTTGCTTCCTGTGGACCAGAGAGTCAGCAGTCAGCCGTCACGCTGTGTGTCCGTTAGACAAACAGAGGCTCAGAATCTGGCTTCATTTTAGCTACAGGGCTCACACCTTGGTTTCTTTACAAACAGGAATATGGAATTTGGGGAAATAAGAACTTTTCAGATCTCAGTTCCAAGCCCACGAGGCTACCCATGGTGTCTCCAGAGTCATACAGGCTGTACATGGACACATGGGCATTGGAAGTCAGACTCCTGACACCAGTCTACTGCACACCATGCACTTTCATGCATTTTTGACCAGTGTGTATATGTTCTTTTAAACTATGCATGTATGTGCAATGAGCCATGATGTATGTGGATGGCAGAGGACAGCTCGTGGGGGTCGGTTCCTTCCTTCTACTACGAGAGATCTAGGAGTGAACACCAGGTCTGGTAGTGGAACTTTTGTTCACAAGCACCCCACTAGCTCAGAACCTGAATTATTACTTGCTTATTTTACTTTGAAAACGAAAGATTATTGGGGTGTCAAATGCAGTTTTTCCCATTAAAAGAAAAAAGAAAAAAGGACTCTAATTGCATTATCTTTTTAATTCCCAAAGTTCACTAGCATCTTTAACCTGTCATTCTCTTAATGGCTGGTGTGCCTTTCTATTTTGTTTTTCAAAATGTTCTTCTGGCATTCTAGCATCCTACACAGGCCTTTACTTTCAATCGGCCGCTTCTTTCTCTTCCAGTATCCATGGCCCCTGCCCCAGCACTGTCTGAAAACCCCTAGTGAATCACAAGCTGTGAGAAAGGCCTTCTGGGCCAGGCTGTGGTCTCTGTCAGTGGAGACAGGAGCCTTCCTCCTCTCCACTGGGGCACCACAACGGGTGGCCTACAGTGACTAGTGCTTGCTGGCTCCTGAGTGCTTCTCTCCTAGTCTTATCTTGGGTAAATAGCTCCCCAAGAGCTCAGCCTCCCACTGTGAGAAGGGCTGACCTCGCTCAACTTCTAATCTTAGGGCTCCACAGAGTGGGTGGAGATGGCCCCTCCACAACCGACCTGGAGACGCTGTGCTTGTTAGCATCTCCGAGAGGATTAAGTTTAGAACTTCTCTTCGGAATATCTGGTCTTGTCTGTTCCAAGCCTGGCAGTTACAGCAGCTCATGAATGTGCTAATTGGGAACAACTGCCTTTTTACGGCCTTGTTAATCAATGGAGAATCAGACCATCCAAGGTCTCAAGATATGTAAAAAGTGTAAGATGAAAAGGGATCAGGGGACTGCACTGCCTAAAAGAAAAGTTTTCTTTTTAAACCTTTTAATGAGAAAAATAACTGGCTGTCTTTTTTTTTAACTTATAGAATAATCAAGGACTTTATCACCTTCATATTCAGTATTTCCAGAGTAGACTATCTGAAGTGTTCATGGCACATCAAAGGTATTAATGACAGTAAGAGGGTCCCTCTTTTGTGATACACGGGTACTTAGGTATCAGTGCTTTTGTTTGCACGCCACGGGCAGGAAAAGGAGCCCACCACAAACGTGTTCTATGTGCACATGCTTCCTGCAGCATGTTTTCCCTGAAATGGCCCAGTGTTTTGATTGAATGTCTTAAAACCTCAAAACCTACAATTGATATAAAAAAATGTGGTTTTCCTCTTTAAGCACAAATTTGAAAATCCGTTGCAAGGAATATAGTACTATATATTTTTGTTGGATGTTCTTTATTGTGCTAAATGTTTAAAGGAGATGATAAGAGCAAGCCAGCAAGCCATTAACCCTTCCACGAGATGCAGAGATATCTGCCTCAGACCACATGGAGAAAGCTTTCTGCCATGGTGTTTCTTCAAGGTCTGTAAGAAAATGTTTCGACCAACACTGCTTAGTTTACTGAACATTAATGGGGTGATGGGTGGACAAACAAAACCATTAGGAATTAAACAAGCAAAGAGGACAGCAAAAATAAATAAATAAACAAATAAAATCTCCTAATGCTATGCAAAGGACCCAAAAAGCTTTTTGCACTCAACAGCCCACATTTAACTACATTTTCAATTTCCAATGATCTTCTAACCCCATACCAGTGATATCAAATAAAAGTGATCCAGTGCAGTTCTGTAAATGTCCTGAAGGCACGAAGACCTACAGTATATACAAGAGAAGGCAAATTTTTACAATGAATAGAAAGTTATCAAAACAACGAGTACTTACTCAGATGGCATGCTTGTCATGACTAATGTTCTCATTGGCTAGAGATTGCAAAAGAGGAGAAAAAAATAAGTCAAAAATATATGAAAATTTTCCCACAGAAATAAACTTTAATAAGCTTTTCGAATAGTTACATCACTTAAACACAAACATTTAAGCATACACACACACACACACACACACACACACACATCTTTATATTACTGGAAATAAAACCATCATGGCTGGGAAGGCAGAAGCTTGCAGCAGCTCAATGTGTGCTCAGGAAGCAGAGATAGATGAATGCTGGTGCCTAGCTTGCTTTCTTCTCTTTAGTCAGTCTGGGACCCTTCCCAGCCACAATGGACTGTGTCTTTAAACTGTGGGCCTCACGATGAAAAGAACAGTAACTAACCCACTCGTGTGTGTGTGTGTGTGTGTGTGTGCGCGCGCGCGCGCACGCGCCCTGCAGAAAATGTAAATGTTATGGAAACAAACTTAGATACATGAGTGTGCTACTCCCCCTCACCCCCCACCTCCCTACCTCCCCTATCCCCACCCCTGCACCAGAATTTGCTGATGTCTTTCAGTCAGTGTGTATTCCATGGAATTGTGTCAATTTTGCAACTGAAGTGAGGAGCCTCACTTGTTTTTGAATGGAGAAAGCAAGGAGGGAAATACAAAAGGCCTTCAAAGATGCACCTGATACTAAGGGATGGGGCCCAGACATATACACTTAGGGAACATGGAGACTGAAAATGCTGAGGGAAAATGAATCTAAAAGATACCCAGAGCTCTGAGGATGAGAGTTAAGCTAGTAGACTATCACTTCCTTCTAGAATATCACACTGTTTTCTCTTCTATACTTCTGATAATCCTTATGGAATAACAATAGTACAGTTTTCTGATTGGCTCTAGACACACCCAACACTATTCTTGTTGTGCAGAGCATTGGGGACTGCAGACCCTCAGACCCTGAATTTTTCTATGATCCCTTGCCTGCCGGAGTAAACAACTTGTTTTCCTATGCTTGTAGCTGCTCTGAGCGCGAGACCCTCATGAGTTTCTGATGGCAGAGGAGTGGGTTCTGGTGGGCTTGCAGCTAAAATGTTCCACGAGCTAGGACGTGGCCATTAGTCAAAGAGAGCCCTATACAAGCTGCCCTGGAACACAATAAAAGTGGCATTCTTGTTGCAGGATGACCCATGCCTCTGTCTCTGTGTGTCAATCTCCAGCCCCTTGCCGACTCACAAACCATCGTGTGGTAGACAGGCGGTGCGATCCAGGTGGACTGTACAGCAGAGACTATCCTTTAGTGTCATCTCTGGCAGGACGGGGGTCAGACAACCCAGGGAGCCACAGGCCAGGAGTGGGACAGCCCAGGGGCCGCAACTGCAGGGAAGGAGCTGCCTCTGGCCTTCTGGAGCTGGGCAATTTGATGCCAGGCATCCCTGCCCCACTTCTCTGTCCCTCGTCCCCTGCCCACCACCACTTTTCTTTCTCCTTCACAAGCTTGTTCTCTGGAGTGGCCACATGGGTTTAAATCCCATGTGGATTTAATCCAGCCATGTCATCTCTGGAGTGACCACATGGGTTTGAAAACCAGTTATGTCAGCACGAGGCTGGCGAATCCCAGCTTCCTGTGTGTGCAGACTCTAACCTCCAGACTCTGGTGCTCTGTGGGCTTCACAGCTCTACGTGGAGGCCTAGCGAGGGTTTTCAATTTAATCTGGTCAAAAACTAAACCACTGTACTAGCCAGACAATTAGGAAAGAAAAAGAAATAAAAGAGACCAAAACTGGAAAGCAGGTAGTAAAACTACTTCTACCCACAGATTGGATTTTACATGGGTTGTTTTCCTGGCTTTTTAATAAAAAGTACCCACAAGAACTAAATAAATTCAACAAGGCTTCAAGAAGCAAGATCAACACACAAAACCAGTTATTCTTCTACAAATTAACAGTGAACGATCGGAAAACGGTATTAGGAAAACAGTTCCACTGACAACAGTACGAAAAGAATAACAGAATAAATTTAATAGAGAAGGCACAATACTGTCTACTGAAAATGAAAAAAAGCTGTTGAAGGGCAGGGGAGAAGGCTTGGTGGGCAACCCGCTTGCTGTACAAGTGTGAGGACAGGAGCTCCAATCTCCGGGACCAAGCAAATACTGGATAGGCATTTGTAACCCCACTACTCAGAAGACACAAGAGATGGTTACAGCAAGTTGGTTAGCTAGATTAGTTGAATCACCGAGCAAACAAAAGACCTTGGCTTATCATATAAGGTGGAGATGGAGCAAGGAAGACACCTGATGTCAATCTCTGGCCTCCCCCTACAACTCAATTAAAAACAAACAAAAAGATCTCAAGGGCCAGAGAGAAGATTCCTTGATTAAGAGCACTGGCTGCTCTTCCAAAGAACCCGTGTTTACTTCCCAGCACCTACATGGCGGTTTACAACCAGCTGTAACTCCCATTCCTGGGGATCTGATGCCCTCTTCTGGCCTTCTAGGCCCCAAGCACACGTATGTTACACAGAAATACATGCAGGTGAAATACACATAAAGATAAAAAAGAAGTATTAAAAAAAGATCAAAACCTCAATTTAAGAACTACACAAGCAGCTCTAAGAGACAAGGTTCCAAAGAAAACAGAAAGATGCTGTACATCCCTAGTTACCCGGGAAACCACTGAAACCCATCGAGAGGATCGTCACGCTCATCGCATCAGCAGTTTAAAACCACACAGTAGAAAACAAGCTTGGTGGGAATGTGAAGAGGCCGGAGATCGGGTACCACTGAAGGGAAGGCAAAATTCAGGGAACAGTTTGGAAATTGCTCCAAAATTAAGCATGTCATTGCCAGCAGAGGCAAAGAGCAAATTACAAAGAAAGCCAGCACACCACTATTCTGGATGCATAGGTCACAACACACTGCTAATCTGGTCACATAGGCTAGAGACTTGAAATATATCCAGTATAACTCCTCCCATTAATCAAGGAAACTCCTAAGACAGATATTGGCACCTGTACCTGTTAGAGATGAATGTAAAAAAAAAAAAAAAAGAAGAAGACTGTTGATGGATGGAAAAATGGATAGTTGTATGTGGCAAAGTAAATACAGTCCCAAAAGCAAAAACTGTAAAACTCAAAGCTGAGAGAACTGCAAAATCTGACTGCAATCTACAACAGCTAATCTTGATTGCCAACTAGATAGGTTTATTATCACCATGGAAATGAACCTCTGTTTGGCTGAGAGGCATTACCTGGATTAACTTACTGAGGTGGGACCCATCCTAAATGTGAGCAGTACCAGCTGATGGGCTGGAGCCCTGGCTGAGCACCAGCACCCAACTCTCTCTATTCTGGGCTGTGATTGACATGTGACCACCTGTCCTTGACTCCTGTGACCTTGTCCGCCCCACAATGGACTTACTCTCAGACTGTGAGCCCCAGTAAGTTGCTTTGGTTCGGCATTCTGTCATAGCAACAAGACAAGCAACTACATAATCAAATGATGTTTGTTTATAGCCATGCAGAGTCCACCCAGCAGAGGCTCAACTAATTCTCTTCTACCAGAATTGGCGTCTTCAATGTTCTGCCAAAGCTTAAGTGCTGATGTTGGAGGCAGTGGGTCCTTTAAGACATAGGCCCTAGTGACAGATCTTTAGAACAGTGGGAAGAGGGGGTTCTTGAGTATGTGTATGTGGGGGGGGGGGGTTGCAGGAGCAGGCCACTCCCATGCTCACTTCTGTTTCCCTACCACAAATATGAGCAGTTTTGCTCCACCATAAGCTCTTACTGTGATCTATCACCACAGGACAGAGCAACATGGCCAGCTGATTCCTAAATTGTAAGACGAAATAAATACTTCTTAGGAGAGCAGTCTCAGGTAGTTTGTTACAGTCAACTGCAGCTGACCAACACATTCAGCAAAACCATTTCAGCATGGCTGACAATCGAAAATCAATGTTAAGGGCATGCTGAGGCCCACGGAGTGTGAGAGGCCTACAGCCATAACTAGGGTGGCGTGAACTCTAGCTGCCCAGAATACGTGCTTCCAAAGTGGCATCTAGGGGATTACAGTTTGGTGTTACAGACTGAAAAAAGGATCAAGAAAAAGGGTTTAGCCAAACCTAGACCCAAGAGGGCAACCAGTCCCTAGGCAAGGGTACGAGACAGTCCCTAACCAGGACACACTCTTTCCTAAATCACCATTGTTCTGGCATCAGGAGAGCAGTGTAGAGCAGAGGTAAGTGGAAGGTCAGAATTAGGTGGTGACTCACAGCACATGGCCTCGGGGACCATGAATTCTATCTTTTCTCTCCATCAATTTGCTTATTCTCCTTTGAGCAGGAATAAGGGCTTTCTGGTTCCCTCACAAATTAATGTGTTGAATATTCATTTTATATTAGTGCAAGATTCATGTTTGTACCTTTAAAAATAATCTTTTCAGTTCTGAGAGTCTTCTGAAATACCCAGCAGACTCTGAAGGAGGCCAGTGAGCTAAGCCAGTACAGGAAAGCACCACTCCAGTGTACTGCTCAAGGCCAAGCCTGAGAACCGCACCGCAGAGCAGTGTGTCCCAGGCATCAGGCTGAGGCCTGAGAACCTCACAGTAGAGCAATATGTCCTATGGAGAAGCCCACAGCAGAGCTCCCCAGCTCAGATGCAGACACATTTTTCATGGGCTTTTTGAGGCTTGAGTCCCTAGAATTTTGCAAGCCATTTTTCTCATTTTCAATTTTTTTTTTCTCTACTAGCTTTTTTTTTATTTGGTTAGATAGATTGATCCCTGCTAGGGAAAGCAATGTGTAGGAATTTGGTTGGTTGGTATGGTCATTTGATACCCTATATAAATAGGATCTAGTTTCTTCTGAGGAAGAGGAAACGGGGCTAGCTTGTGAATTTATTTTTAACTGTTAAATCACAGTAAATAAGGTCTGAGAATGCCTCAGTACCTAGAGTCCTAACACAATAAACTATAATCTTATTTAGTGTGTAAGCTTAGCAAAAGCCTAACTCAGTGGTAAACTTTGCGATAAATAGCAGAGCCCCAGCAGGGCACAGTGACAGTCAATGGCAGATAAGGCTTTGCTCAGATGAGGCAAATACCCAAGTCACATGCACCAAGCGGCTGCTGTCCCCTCTGATTTCTGCCTTCAAATGCTGCCTGCTGTGTGTCCCGGACTGGGTCTCTCTGAACTGGGCTGCCCAGCTTATAAACTGCTCTTTGATTAAGTTCTATTTAGTTTACTCTGTCAACACTTTATCAGTTTGGTACCACTGAATTCAGTGGCATTTCAATTGCATTTTAATAAATTAAGACTGCCTGAAGATCTGAGAGTAAAACAGTCCCACTGGTCAGTCTTACAGACCAGGTTATGGCAACACACACCTTAAATCCCAGTAGCCACAATAACACACACCTTTAATCCCAGTAGCCACAATGACTTAAAACTTTAATCCCAGCCCTAGAGGGGACTATAAAACAGGGGGTGTGGGGGGAACAGCTCTCAGACAGTCTCATTCTGAGATTCCTGGAGGCAGGATCGTCGTTTCAGACTGACGTCGAGGTAAGAACCAGTAGCTGGCTGTTTTGCTTTTTGGATCTTCAGGTTGAACCCCAATTTTTATTAATTGTGCTTCAACTGAGGGATCATATGAAAGTACCTTCTAGGCTACTGTACCTGAGAATCTTTCCTAGCACCTGAGTCATAGGCTCAGTCCTTCATTGGTTTCAAGATCTACAGACTTGTACTTTAAGTTTCGAGTTTATTTGAGCAATGTTTGGACTGGATAGGGTCCAGGACTGGATTACAGCCAATGATTAGCCAAGCTGGATTCAGTTAGAGGTATTAGAAGTTTGGCGGCTTGGATAAAAAAGGCCTGGCTTCAGATGGCGGATCATGATTTGAAAGGGGGACCAGCCGGACCATCTGAATCCACAGGCTGGAAGACAGCCAATTAAGAGGAAGTAACAGGTGAACCTCCCCCTGAATATAGTGACTGGAACCATGCTAGCCTACACGTCTGTGTATCATGTGCACACCGGGTGCCCTTGGAGAGGACGGGAGAGGGTTGTAGATCTGGAACTAGAGTTACAAATGGCAGTGGGTCACCATGTGGGTGTTGGTAACAGAACCTGGGGTCTCTGGAAGAGTAGCCAGTGTTCTTAAAACCATCTCTTCAGCCCTAACAAAAAATATTTTACTGGTTGTTATCTCTGGCTTCATCTTCTTTCTGCCCTTACCTATCCTGTTCTGTGTCCTCAGAATGCCCCAGCCTCTTCCTTCAGTCACTTTCTCAGTGAAATGATGGCAAGAAAAGCTGAGTACCCAAACTGAGCCCTCCAATTAGTGGGTCTTTCTTGAATCTCCCTTGGTATTTGGCCAAAATCTTAAGCATCACACAGAGAAGCTGTCTTGGAAAGGCACAGCAGGGGCTTTGTCCAACACTGGGAACTCAGTATTCTAGCTACAAGACACAAAAGAACTTTGAAAGCGCCCCCCCCCCATCTTAATCTCGGCACACACACACCCGCCACCCCTTCTTAAAAAGAGGAGAAAATCAACAGGGCGATGATCTATACATGGTTTTACTAAGGCTTACATCTCAACCAGCTCAGTTAAGAACAAAGAATTAGTCAACAGATGGGCTCTGTGACTTGTAAGTCGATCACCATGGTGACAGCAGAGCCAGTGGGAGCTCAGGAATTCAGTCAGGCAAAGCTGAAGACTGATCAATCCCTGTGTGACTCCACCTTGTCACTCTCTTCCTTTCTGAAGCTCACAACCATCCTCAAGTGTCGACAACCTGGCACAGTGTACTGGCGCGTTAATAAACACATATGCTCTGTTCCCTCTTTGGGCTGTCAGTTTCTCTCAGTAGGCTCCCTGTGGGGAGGTGAAAGCCCCTGACCTTGGGAGGCATCAGCAGGCTCTGATGGCCACAAGCAGGACACTTCTCTAGGCGAAGTTACTTCCCCCATGCTACTGGAGACCCACAGAACAACACACCAGAGTCAAGTATACAAAACGAGAAAGTAAAAAGCAAAATCCGGCTTCCAGGAGCCCCGAGGACTGTGCTCCAGAAAATATTCACAGTGCTCCTGGTGCTGGCTTTACACTCAACAGGCCACGTGACCTTATCCTGTGTAGCTGTCTCACCTGAGAGCTGCTTTAAAGAACTACTTCCAAGTGCTACATAATTAATAACCATATTGAAAGTGTTGAAGATCTTCATAGTATAAATACACAGGTCAGATTTCAGTGATGGAAATGAAAGCTGAGTGACTTTCGGTATTTGATTCTCTTCAATGACAATAATCTTAAGGTTCTAGATCCAAGATAACAGTCACAATGCAAAAATCTAAGTAGAATCAGGACACTTTGATTAATGCTATTAGAAAAGACCAGACTAACATTTAAAAGGCTTGACATACTAAATATTAAAAAGTCAAACAGGGATTTACTTATACCTGAGACCTGGATGGCCATAATACCTATTCTGATTTTACTGGAAGCCAGTTCTCTATGGCCAAGATGAACTTTATCTGAGTCATGTGTCCCCTAGAAAATACAAAGCTGGTTAAGAATTGCCCTAGCCTTTTGTGTTCTGACAAGACTCTCTCTGCTTTCAGAGTCCAAAATAATGCCCCCTAACATCTTCCTCAGTGACCCAGAAGTCTACTGCCATATGCCCTCGTGCCTGTGAGATAAACTAATATCCTGTTCTCAAGATCCTTGGGTCCTTCCTTCCCTTTCCATCATTCTTCATGGGGGGACCCTTCTGTTAGGACAGTCTGAACAGGGTGTTGGGATGGTGCACTTGTCTCTCCCCATGTAGGTACAGGTACAGGTACAGGGGACCTGGCCTGGCCTCCTCATCTGGAAAAGGGAGTACAGGAGTCCTTTTACGCATCCCTGGAGATCTAGGGACACCAAAGAATTCAGCTGGTGACCCTGTGTGATGGCATCACAGAAGGAACCGACTTCAATTCTATTTTGAGTCTGGTGCCAGCTTCTGCTGGTTTCACGGTCTGGCCCTGTGGTTCTCTCTACAAATGGATGAATGTTTACAGAGATGTTGTCTCCACTATGAAAATAACAGAGAATCTGGCTTGAGACATCTTTCAGTTTGTCTGCTTTGAGTTCGAGAAAATAAAAATTTCATGCTACCAAGAAGTAGATATGCTGTTTTTTGTACTACCATAATCATGCCTGATCCATGACAGAAATTTGGAATCAAAGATACAAACTCTAGTGCTTTTTGCATGAGTGCACGCCACTGTACTGCACAAGGCCCAAAATGGGAACATGTAAAACTACATATTGTATTGGCACCTACTTTAAAAATGCTTTTTTAAAATTTTTTTAATTTAATTTTTCTTTTTTAAATAAAGAAACAGGGCTCTGTCACCTTTTTTTTTTTTTTTTTTTTTTTTTTTTTTTTTTGGGTTTTAAGTTCTACAATCCCACCTAGGATCTTAATTTGGCTACCAAAGTCTGTCTTACATAGTCTCCTTGTGGTGACTACCTCCCTAAGACATATCTACATATATCTCTCTTCCTACTCTCTCTGGCCCTTCTACCCTAGATCAGTGACCATCTCTGGGTCACATTGTGACCCCAGAGAATCTATATCTGCTTTCTTTTAACGCCCCCCCCACTAAAAGTCCCCATGGGTGACATACTTGGAAAATAAAGGCATTGATTATGTCTCTCTCTCTCTCTCTCTCTCTCTCTCTCTCTTTCTCTTTCCTTCCCTCATTCTCTCCCCTGTTCCCTGCTTGACTCTTCTAAGCTGCCATGCATAGTCTGGGGATGGAGGGATACCTAATCTTTCTGTATCTTCCCCCCCCCCCCAAGACAGGGTTTCTCTGTGTAGCCCTCTGTCCTGGAACTCCCTCCGGAGTCCAGGCTGGCCTCAAACTCACAGATCTGCCTGCTTCTGCCTCCTGAGTGCTGAGATTAAAGGCATATACTACCACCACCCAACATGCATCTAATCTTTAAATGAACGTTATTCTTTATTGTAGTACATTGAATTTTGTCCTCCAGTTTGAAGATTGGGGGCTACTCCAAGATGGGATACCCTTGGGACACCAAGGAAAACGCAAAGCCAGGTTCTAGCACCAGGATTGTAGCATAAACTCAGCATGCATCAGATCAGAGTACAGTGGTGTCTCCTGTATAAAGAGCAAGTCAGACACTAGGCACCATGCTTTCAACCAGGTCAAAGGAACACCTGTGAGAGGCACACTACAGCCACCTGTGCCCAACAGCACCCGTGAGAGCCAACCACCGTGAGACTAATGCAGCTCTCCATAATTCTTCTGTTGGGCATCAGTGCAGACCATCCTGGTACTGAAGCTCAGTTTATCTGATGTTCTCAAACTGCTCCTTCCCCACCCCATTCTGTGATGACTCTTATGAAGGAATGCCACCAAATGAGGTCATATAGCTTGGATTAGAAATACCCTGGAACCTACATATTTCCTAGACTCCTGCTCTAAGAAGTTAAGGATACTGAATGCTCTAAAATGTTTTCAATGGGGGTGGGGGAACATTCCTACTAAACTCACACATTTTAATAATCTGCACCCAAATATTTAGGTAAATCTTTGGGAAATGAAATTAGTTGAATACTTTAGGTTTGAGGAAAAATAGCTAACATTCCATTGTATTATTAGCAAAGATTTGAATTCATTAGCAAAGATTTGAATTTATTCTCCTCATATGTGTTTGTCCATAAGCTATCTAGATTTACTGGTCTCATATGTGGGCATCTAATAATGTTACTTCTACTGATATTTCTAAATAACCATGGTCCTATCTTAAATCAGGTGTTTGATTTCCTGATGGCTTCCGAGATTTTGCCTTTGTCAATGGAACTAAAATAATATTTTGCACCTACAGCTGTGGTGTTTCCTGGAAAACCATAAAAGCATGCGCTACTTTGTAAGAACACGGACCTGGATATAGCTGTGTCCACATGACATGTTTCTCCTGATGATAATACACAGGAAACTGTCAAAAAGAGATGGCTTGCCTCCCCCAGGTATCTGTGCAGTGGAAGGGGAATGGAACGGAATGGACACTACTTCTATTAACGTTTCACTGATGTGTAGGGTTTACTCTGGACTAGCAACTCTTTTTGAAATTCCTGCTCTAATTTTATTCTTGACAGACCACAAATATGTCTCAGGGCTGCAGTGACATTGTGTTTGTGCTATAACAAAGCTTGCCTAAGGATCAGAGCGTGGAGCGAGCCACTAGTTAGCCATAGAGGTCGGGGACCCAGGAGGCAGAGGCAGACAGACCTCTGTGGGCTCAAGGCCAGCCTGGTCTACACTAAACTGAGCCAGTCTCAAAGAGAAACAAAGCGAGGTGATGAAGGCTCACACCTTTACTCCCAGTATTGGGAGTCACATGCCTTTAATCCCAACACTAGGGATGTGGAGACAGAAAGGGATACGGTTGGGCAGAGAGAGGACTGACCAAAAGACTGGAGGAGACAGGATGCCCATTCGATCTGAGGATTTCATAGAGGTAAGAACTAGTGACAGGATCTCTGCTTCTCTGATCCTTCAGCCTTCACCTACTAACATCTGACTCTGGGTTTCTATTAAGGCCAATTAGAATTTGTGCGACACAGGGCTATTTTATTTCATCTGACTTTTCTTCTGTGAGAAGGTCTATCAAGCATTTGTTTATTTATTATTTATTATATATACAAGTGCCATGGAGAGTATGTGGAGGTCAGCACAGCTTGCAGGTTTTCTCCTCTCACTGTGTGGACCTCAGGGATTGAACTCAGGTGGCCAGACTTGGGGCAAGCACCTTCATCCACTAAACCATTTCACAGGACCCGCCTTCTTCTATAAATAGACCAAATTCCTACTTCTTTTGGAAAATAAGGTTGATCATTATTTACCAATGTCTTCCCTAAACTTCGTGTTTTGTACACCAAATTCAACCTGAACTCTCTATTGCCATAATTTTTTATTATTAACTCTCACCATATCTTTGAGATTTGAAAATGGCCACTAATAAGTTAATTACACTCGTCTTGAGTTTTTCTTTGTTCTGACCCCCCCCCCCCACCACCGCCCCGCACTGCTCTCAGGGAATTAAACTGGGGTTTCCAGAGCTCTGAGAAGCAGATGTACCCTAGGGACTGCTAAGCAGCCAAGCAGAACAGTTTATTCCTATATGTAAATGAGCTAAGGGGTGGGAGTGCCTTAGACTTTAGTTGGGGTATGGTAGATGAGTCTGTGTTCTGTTGTGTAGTAGACAGGAGACCCTTTCTTATGCTATCTGGATCTCATAATGAATTGATGATAGACCATACTTTTGTGAACAGAAAGGACATATTTGGAAAAGATTTATTATTTTTTCTCCCTGTTTGGTCTTTCCAGAACCCAGAAACTGTGATATGATGTTGGGACCAATTGAGTCCTGGCCCTCAGCTGCTCTTCCCTGCTAGAGCCTTCTAACTGAAGTTACTAGAAGCTGTGCCTTGTCTAGAGGATCAGAGGGTGGGATTTTCACCTGTTGGCCATTGACTGCTGGGTATTTAAGCCTCCATGGTGCTATTAAAGCCTTTGTACCAGTGATTGGAGGTCCGTGTGTCTGTCTGTCTCTGTGTGTGTTTCCTCAACCTCCAGCCCCTTGCCTGAAGCTCGCGAACTGGATTCTAGCGCATAGAGCGCAGGGGGGGAGGGGGGCAATAAAACATTTTCCCCCCCAGAGGTTCAATGTAGTTTGTTCTCGCTGTTATCAGGAAGTAACTAAACAAACACTGGGTCACAGTGAAAGCCTTGTCCACTGTCATATTTAAGAATAATGTTACACTAATCAGCAGACATTTAAGGAACCCACGTTTGCTTTAGGGAGCCAGTGTTCATAATATTCTCTTTGTGAAAGAAGACTGGGACCTGCTTAAGGCAATCCTTAGCCTTCAAATGAGTGGAGAAATGATGTAGGAGGGTCTTCTATCTGTTGCTTTCATTGGTTAATTAATAAAGAAAACTGCTTGGCCTGATAGGTCAGAATATAGGTAGGTGGGGAAGACAGAACAGAATTGTGGGAGAAAGAAAGCAGAGGCAGTCAGATGCCATGGCTCTCCTCTCCGAGATGGAGGTGGGTTAGAATCCTCCCAGTAAGCCACGACCTCGTGGTGATATACAGATTATTAGAAATGGGTTAATTAATATGTGAGAGTCAGCCAATAAGGGGCTGGAGGTAATGGGCCAGGCAGTGTTTAAATGAATACAGTTTCCGTGTAATTATTTCGGGTTAAGCTAGCCGGGATCCGGGTGGGAACGCAGCCCGCCATTCCTTATTACTACAGAGAAGTCACAACGTAATGGAGTAGCCATGGGACTTATGGAGGGAATCTCAGAAAAAGGGAAACCATCCAAACATAAGGGGCTGTGGCTGACCTGGCACGAGGCTCCTGCCTGGCTCAGCTTCCAGCCAGAAGAAGCTGTTAAATGTGCAGTTGGACTCTTCAAGTAAGGCCCACAGGGGTTGGAGAGATGCCTCAGCACATAAGGGCACTTGTTTTAACAGAAAACCTGCATTTAATTCTCAGCACCTACATGGAGGCTTCTAACCATCCAGAACTCAAGTTCCAAGGGGATCCCTGACCTCCTTGGTTATACATGTAAACATGCATGTAAGTCGAACACTCATACACACAAAATAAAATACATCTTAAGAAAGAAAGAGAGAGAGAGAGAAAGAAAGAAAGAAAGAAAGAAAGAAAGAAAGAAAGAAAGAAAGAAAGAAGGGAGAGAGGAAGGGAGGGAGGAAATAAAGGTCCATAAATCAAATCTAAGGTCCTATTGACAAATTGCCATTCTAGCTTTAGTCATCTCTACAGTTGAATTTAATAAACCAGGGTTACTCTGTGACTATGAACAACCTCCCCAGGAGATGGTCTTTGATCAGTCAGTGAGGGACTATAGAAGAAAATACATCTGAGGCATGGGGTAGTGTCTGAATCCTCTAACTCCAGCCTTACCACTGTCTGGGTGATTTCTGGACTTTATATATGATAACTGTTCAGTGGTGTTTGAGACAATTTCACTCCCCATTCCCAGCACCTACTGGATTAGTGACCAGATTCATTGCACCCCAGGAGTTACTAAATTCTCTTTTCTTTCCATCTCCTTCAATACCCTTGGGACAAATCCTCTGATTTCTCTCACTTGACTTAGGGTAGAATGAGCCATTACTTGAGAGCTAAGGTCAAACTGGAGACGGGCTTTACAGAACTGGGTACCACAACAGACCAAGTCAAACCACATGTGGGCTTGGTTCTCCTGGGACTGGTTACAGCACTGCACACCACTTGGGTCATGTTTTCATTGTATCAGAAGTGAGCCAATTATATTTATGATACAAACATATACAAATGTAACAACCATTAACAAAACAAAGACCATGAATTTGAAAAAAGGATGTGTGTGGGGGTACATGGGAGGGTTTTGAGAGAGGAAAGGGAAGGTAGAAAGAATACAATTATATTATCTCAAAAATAAAATAATTTTTAATTATGAAAACAATAACAACAAAAATAATTAGGAATACAAGCATCTGATCACTGAGAAAGAATATTACAGATGTGCAGCCTTCAGGAATTGAATATTTAGTGAGCCAGGACAGCACCCAAACACAGGATGGGACATGAGTGACACACAAAAGGTCATGCCTGCCCCCAAGGCCATAGGACTTTAATAAGCAATCAGAGTCCATCAGCTATAAATATAATCTGGGGAAAAGAAAAGACAAGGAATGGGACAGTGTCAAAGTGAAGGCTCTAAGAGGAAAGAGCTGGGCAGAGGGCTGCCCCACCTCCTGAAGACGGAGAACCAAACACGTGTGAGAGCAGTGGCTCCCCTGGGAGTACTTCCCAAGGAATCACTTTAGGGAACAAGACTACACAAGCTTGGCGGACTTTGTGGTCCCAGAAGGTATTATTCAGGCTGTAGTGGGAGGCAAGAATCATCGGTCTTAACCAGCTGAGGACTGCCAGGCATGATGTTCCTGCTGGTGTGATGGTGGCAATAGTGGCATGATTGTTCTTGGGCAACCAATCACTTTCCAACAGAGGACCCTAGTTTGGTTTCTAGCACACAGAGGGCAGCTCGAAACTGACTAGCTCCCGTTCCAGGGCATCCAACATCCCTCTGGTCTCCATGAGTGGACATGCACACACACATACCCGCATGTACTGTATGCACACATGCATATGTGCACATACGAACACATACACAAAGTAGACTCAAGGAAAGCTGAAAACCTGATGTTATTATTCGCAATATATTAAATAAAGTTTAATATATTAAACTCCTATTCTGGCCACATCTCACAATGCAAGGTATGTATTGTAGAATGATGTTATAGAAAGAAGACAAACAAACTTCTGTTTCTAACATTGTTATTCACTAGAAAAAGAACAGGCAAGACTGTGTCCTGCATAGAAGAGTCAGAGTCTCTAGCCATGAAGTCGGTCACACAGTATCAACGGGAACTACAAAATGACCCCACCAGGAATAGCTAATGCATGCATTGCGAACACAGCTTTTAACTTAAGAAAACATATTTTCTGACGTTTCTAAACAAGGGTTCCAGGGAGTCGAGAGGGAGGGAGGAGAGAAGGGGAGGCTGAGAAGGAGGGAATATGACATTTGGGAAATTGCAGTTGATTTTGTTTTAGTAAGATCGAAGGTAGGTCAAACCAAAGAGATGTACTTGTTTTATTAATGATAAAGAGAAACATTCCATAAATAAAACACTATAAAAATGTTTGAGTTTAGGCATCAACTTTCAGATAAATAGTAAAATTACTTTTCCTTAAAAATGAGTGCACTGGTTAAGAGGTGGTGGCACACGCCTTTAATGCCAGCACTCGGAGGTAGAGTCAGATGAACTCTGTGAGTTCCAGGCGAGCCTGGTCTACAGGGAGAGTTCCAAGACAGCCAGAGCTGTTGTTATACAGAGAAACCCTGCCTAGAAAAAACAAACGCACAAAAAGAAAGCAAAACAAAAATGAGTGAATTGAGGAGACAATCCATGAATTTTTAAAGATGACTGATTTTGTTCATTCCTGGTGTAAATCCACAAGCGCACAAGCACTGTTAGAATCAGAAAAATCAACTACATTAAAGCATAAAAGCTGCCAAAACAAACATCCCCCCTTCCCCAAGTCTCTAGGATGTTTCAAACCTCCAGCAGCTATGTCATATAAAGTCCTTTCTGGAAGTTACAAGAATGGCTGGCACCCGTGTTACATTCCAAGTGTGTGGCAGCTTTAGCAGCAGAGTCTTATAGGCAGACACACTGCCTTCAAAATAGTCATCTTTTACACCCTTAGGCTGGTGCTGCCATCCTTTTTGGTCAAAGAAGTTTCTTTTCTGCAAAGAGTGACAATTAATATAGAAACTGGTCAAAATTAATATAGAAACTGGTCAAAATGCTGAGAACAAAGGGCTGTCGACTGCTCACCTCTCAATGGGGCGGGACATCTATAACAACCCCTCCAAGACCCAGGGGACATTATGGGAAAGGGGTTGGTAAAACAGTAAGAGATAGAAGACAGGAGGCATCCTGTAAAGCCCTGTTTATGGGTATGACATGGTCAGTGTAATCACGAGCACACAGTAGCTATGGCTAGCTGCAGAAGATCTGCACATGTGTGCACGTGTGCATGCGTGTGCGCGCGCACACACACACACACACACACAAAGACGTGATAGCATGAGGGGATTAGATGGAAGGGTCTGGAGGAGTAGGAGAGGGATATGGGAGAGCAACTGGTGAGTATGTCCGAGTATGTTCACAGCTCTCTGCAGGCACTACACACAAGTAGTGCTCATACAGACGTGCAGGTAAAACGTGCACACACAATATAAAAATAAGTAGACCTTAAAAAAAAGATACAGCAGGCTGAAGAAATAACTTAGGGGCTAAGAGCAGCTGTTGCTCTTCCAGAGGACCCAAGTTTGGTTCCCAGTGTCTATACTGGCCAGTTCACAACTGCCTGTAAGTCACTCCAGAGTACCCAACACCCTCTGACTTCTTTGGGAACTAACCCAAGTGTGCACATGTTACACTTATATTCTTATAAAAAACAGTTTACTAGAGGAAGTGGAACCAGTCAAGAAAAATACAAAAAATTAGCAAAAGAAAGAATTCTATTAATACTGAAACAGACTTTAGTGTTATAATATAAAACAGAATTAAGAAGCAAATATACAGGGCTGGAGAGATGGCTCAGAGGTTAAGAGCATTGCCTGCTCTTCCAAAGTTCAATTCCCAGCAACCATATGGTGGCTCACAACCATCTGTAATGGGGTCTGGTGCCCTCTTCTGGCCTGTAGGCATACACACACAGACAGAATATTGTATACATAATAAATAAATAAATATTTTTTTAAAAAGAAGCAAATATACTTTGAAAAGAATAAGGTAATTCCACAGAAAAATAAAACACTATAATTTACAACAACATACTTACTGAAAATCTAAGGATGAAGATCCCTCATCCCAAACCGCTCTAATCTGACAGGCAACAGACATGAGATTTTCTTGGACAGACATTGACA